GTCTCATACTGATGGCTTCCCCTGGGGAGGGTTCTTACCCAGTTCTCTCCTGGGCTTTTCCAAGGGTACCCTCTACCTGGTCCCTTTCTCTTCACTATAGAACTATGAGCCTCTGGCTCACTGTTGGGGTCTCTGTGCTCCCTCCCAGCTTCCCCTCTGTCCCATGCAGGCCCCTGTCTGTTGTAGCTACCAGTGCTCTTTATTCACACCTGCGCACACTTCCCTGGCCTTGACATATCTTCCTTCAGGGCTCCTCATATCCGCAGGACACCAGCATTCCTCCCTTCCTCCTTGCTTTAGCAAACCTAAACCTACCTCTTTCCTGCTCTGCCACTTTCTCTCTCTTCCTGGATTTGCTGACTGCTCACCAGTAGTCCCCCGCCCCCCCCAAGGAAGTCTCCCCATTCCTTCCTTTTGCCCTCCCTACTAAGCCCCCACGAATATCTCCAGATGTGCCCTGTCTCCAGCCCTACCCCTCACTTTGCTTGTCTTGATCCGAGTTTCCCAGTTGCTTTTTCTTTTTTCTTGCCCTCTGCTCCCTTCTGTCACCTCAGATCCATTCTGAGCTTCCTGTCCTAGGCTCAGGGCCTTGGGCAGTACTGTGGGAGCAGGGGAGCTTGGATCCTAAGAATTAAAAAGAATGGGATGCACAGGAGGTAACTAACTCCTGAAATTCTAGAAGCCCACTTCCCACTCACATCCCTTCCTCTGGTAGGACCCCTCTTTTCAGGAGATCTCAGAGCAGCCTGCCTAGCACGGCTGCATGGCACCTGCATGGGAGTCAGGCTACATAAGACCCAGACACTGCCCTTGCAGAATGAACTCCCAGGCTGAGATGAAGTCTGCCAAGGAGCAGCACCTTTGTTGTGTCAACGAACCTTTCTGGAGCCCCTACTACAAGTCACTGTTTCAGCCTTTTAGCTGGGTCATCTTAGTTAGCTGGAGCTGTGCCCTCGTCAGTAAAATGGGCTTGTAGAATGAGGTCTGGGAGAGGAGATGTGGGCCTCGATTCAAAGTTGTTAAGAAGTAGAATCTTCTGAGCCAGGAGCCCAGGTCCTGCCTCAACCCTCAGCCCAGGCCCTACTAGTCACTAGGCAACCCTGGTGAGTGACGTGTATCAGCTGTCACAGTGGGGAATTGTTTGTTCCGGGGTGGGGGAGGGTGGGGGGGAGACGCTGAGTCAGCGCCAAGCAGCCTGGGGGGTGGGAGGCTCGACACCCTCTGCCTGCTGATGGTGCCAGCTCTGGGGCAGACAGACGGCACCCTTCCGCCCCTGCTGGACCCCGTTGCTGTGCCTATCAGGCAGGCAGCTGCCCAGAGTCAGAGGAATTGGGGGAGGGGCTCCAGATGGCCCCAGCTCCCTCCAGGAAGCCCATGTTCTTTTCCTCTGAACCGTATGGGGTCTAGGATGTTTGGGGGTGGTGGGCCTGCTGCCTCATTCTGGGGCTAGAGGGGAAAGGAAGGAACCCCCCTTCCTTCTCTCCCCCCCCCCTCAGTCAGGCTTCTCTGCCAGCCTGCCTCCCCCAGGTCACCGGCAGGTTCTTCTAGATCCACACCATCATCTCCTTGAATACCCGCTACCTCGGGAGTTTCCCCACTCCTGAGTACACTGCCATCCCCCAGACACACCAGAAGTCACTTGTGATCACCTACCTCCTCTCCCCATACCACACAGGCCCTTTGCAGCTGGTCGACAGCATTGCCATGGCCACTGTCCTCCTCACTTAGACCACTGCCAACCCCTCCCTGACTGGAACAGGCCCTTCAGTGGTCTGCTCTGCGTGTAACCAAGTGGGCAGTGCTTTTAACTGGATTGCAAGTTTAGCACTTAGTAGCTGTGTGGCCTCGGACAGGACACTCGCCTGTCTTCTCATCTGCAAGTCAGAAATGAAGATAATACTAGGACTTAAGCTATTAGGTTGGTGCAGGCATTCAGTGAGCTAATAAAGCCTGCTGTGGCGGTTGCCAGCTTGTGTCCCCACCAACCTGAATCTGATTGTCCCCTTTGTTGCTTTGTAATCCTCTAGGACTCCCTCTACTCTTGCGGTAAACCTCGTCTTGGTTGGCCTTGCAGGGACAGGCTCTGCTGACCTTCCCACCAGCCTTGCATCCTTCCCTCCCTCCCCATTCTCACACAGCCCAGCCCCATGAACCACTGAATGTTCTCTCAACCTTCTGTGCCTTCCTGTCATTATTACCCCTGCTTGGACTGCGTTCTTCCCATTTGTTCACCAAATGCCTTCTCAATCAGCTTGAACCCACCAACCCGTATGGAGTCCTGCTCACCCTCGCTACTGAGCCAGAGTTCTCTCCCCACCCACCTAGGGCGCCTCCTGGACAAGAACTGTGTTCCAGCCCTCTAGGGTTTCTGTGCTCAGCATGAGGCCTGGGAGAGGAGAGGCCATGTCTTGCAATGTTTGGGGAGTACAGTAGGCATTAGGATCCCATTGTCTACTGCTGTGTGAGCTTGGGCCAAGACCTGTCCTTCTGCTTCTTCACTTTGCAGTAAACTCCATATGGCAGGGTCCCCAAGTATAAATCCCTATCCCATGGAAGGACAGGCACGCGTGTATGTGTGTGTGTGTTGAGGAGGGGGGGGTTGCTATCCAGCTCCCTCCAAAAAGCCCATGTTCTTTTCCTCTGAGCCATCTGGGGCCTGGGATGTTCAGGATGGTGGTGGGCCTGTCTCAACCCTGACAGGCACATGCCCCCACCCCCAGATTATAGCCTTTGATGAACTGCGGACTGACTTCAAGAACCCCATCGACCAGGGGAACCCAGCGCGGGCAGTAAGTGATACATGTGCTGTGCTGAGGTGTGTCCGTCTGTTTGTCTTTCTGTCACGGGTGGAAGGTGGGAATGGGGGTCGGGAAGATGGGGGTGCCATGTGGAGGGCCGGTGACGTGACCCTGTCCTTTTCCCTGTCCCCGTTCTCACAAACACCTGGAGCGGGCTCAGGTTCCTCCTGGTGGGGCAGCCTTTTCCAGGCTCCAGGCCGTTGCCATGGAGATGCGGGTGAAGGCCCTTCCATGGCGACAGTCGCCATGGGGACGCGGCTGCTTTCCTGAAAGACACCGCAGAGTGTTCTGGCGCCCTCTGGCGACCACACGCAGGGCCGTGGGAGGCGCCCTGGTTTCTGCTCCTCGGCCTCACTTATCTAGGCCCTTTCCTTCCCTACAGCGCGAGCGTTTGAAAAACATCGAACGCATCTGCTGCCTCCTGAGGAAGGTCAGTGTCAGGACAGGGGTCAGGGAGCTCCTAGCTAGTGCTGCCCTCACCCTCTGTAGCCCAGTGAGGCCTTCTCTGAGCCTGTTTAGATCCACTTTGCCGCCTGGGAGGGTGGGAATGGCAAGCCAGAGAGGCCTTCTAGTTCTGAGATCATGGTGGGTTGGTACTTCCTAAATCTCATCACCCCTTTGTGCCATTGAAGCTTGGGTTGGTTGGTCCTGGCACCAGGCCATTGACCTCTCACCCTTGCTCCCCCAGCTCGTGGTCCCGGAATATTCCATCCACGGCCTCTTCTGTCTGATGTTTCTGTGTGCAGCAGAGTGGGTGACCCTGGGCCTCAACATCCCCCTTCTCTTCTACCACCTCTGGAGGTGAGGAGCGGCATCTACCTGGGGGAGGCGAAGATGGGAGCAGGGCAGTATGGGGGATCAGACCTGGGTGGTTTAGAGGGGGCACTCAGACCTCCCCCACCCCAGGTACTTCCACCGTCCCGCGGATGGCTCTGAGGTCATGTATGATGCGGTCTCTATCATGAATGCTGACATCCTCAACTACTGCCAGAAGGAGTCCTGGTGCAAACTCGCCTTCTACCTGCTCTCCTTCTTCTATTACCTGTACAGGTGAGGCTTTGCCACAGCAGCTGGGGACAGGCGAGGGGGATCCCAGGCTTCAGGCCCTCTTTTTGCCCTTGAGGACTACAGACAACCCAGGGCATGACTGGGAGGGTGGTAGACACACGTTCACAGCTTCATCTCCCCCACAGTATGGTTTATACGTTGGTGAGCTTCTAAGGGTGAAGCCGGCCAGGGAGCAAGCCCAGAATGGACCGGACGCCTGTGCACCCCTAGCCCTGCCCTTCTGGCCAGAGAGGCCTCGCCCTGGGGAGACAGGGGGCACTGGTGCCTCCCAGCCTCTCCACCCCCCAAACTGCTGCTGCGGGGACCCCCCGCCTTCAGAGCTCTCCCCCTCCAACTAGGGCCAGGCAAAGCTCTAAATAGGGGTGGGGGCTCCTCTGCTAGCCTGCAGCTAGGCATGGCAGTTGTCCTGGAAGGGGCAGGACTTCTGGTCCTGTCCATATCGGGAGAACTCGGGCCCTGCCGCCAGGCAGACCTTGATCTTGGAAATTCTGGGCAGGCCCCCATGGCCCTCACCTTGAAGCTCCCCCTGCAGGTGGGGGGGCACCTGCACCAGGAATGAGCAGGCTCAATGTGGGGGCAGCCCCATTCCCCAGTCTGCCCTCTCCCCTCCCCAAGCTCTCTTTCCAGCCCAGTCTCTACTTATCCCAAACCCAGTCCACCCTGTCCCTTGGTCCTATTTTCTATGTTGCCTGGAGGAGTCCGGCACCCCCTCCCCGGCCATTTGTGACAAAATATGAATAAATGACTGAAAACACACAAGCCACAGTTCTGTTCCTGAAAGGCTTGAACAGATGGGGTAAGGTGGGGCACTCTGAAGGGGGCGACCTGGAGCTAAATCCCCAGCATACTGCATCTCACCCTACTAGCCCCAGGCTTCTCCAAGAGCCTCGTGGATGTGTCTAAGGCCTTGGAGGTTTCCTTAGCAGCCATTTTCCCATGCTACCTTTCCAGCTGTGTCTGATGCAACCCTTCCAGCTGTTTTTCAAGGCAGTATAAAAGTTTCCTCCAGGATGCTTTCCCTGGACCTACCTGCCCTTCTCCTAAACAACCCCAAGCTGAGTCCCCTGGACAATGCAGAGGCCCAGAGGTGTTCATGGCTCCCCCTTGGGCCCCAGGAACCAGGGTCAAGCCAAGTCAAGGAAACCAAATCTTCAATGTATGGAAAAAAATCAGTGCCACCTGGGACCAGGGATCACCGGACCAGGTGGAAGGTCAGCCAGTATATGATGAGGGGCTGGAAGGCAGCGGCTCCCAGAGTCAGGTAGAGCTGGAGACGCTGCTGAGAGGCTGGGCTCCCCATGCTGTCAGGGCCCAAGGCTGCGGTCCGCAAAGAACGCACCTAGAAGAGAGAAGTGCTAAGGCTGGGCCAGGAGGGGACATGCGATCCAGAGCCAGCCCAGGGGAGGGGAGGGGAGGGACCACCCTGCACTCACAATGAAGTACATAAGCGCGGATGATGTCCAGGCCAGGGCCACGTAGTAGCCGTCGCTGCCGAAGAGCAGCCCTGTGAGCACACTGAGGATCATCCTGCAGAGCAGCAAGGGAAGGTGAGCACCACCACCACCACCCATGACACCAGGGCCAGAGCCACCCAGCACCACCACCCCATGACACCAGGCTGTCCTCAACGGGGAACCAGACTCCAGATGGATCAGCCCCAGGACCTGAAATCCCCTTCTGTTCCTTGGGCTCCCCAACCTCTTTGAAGTCACTATCTCCAGGAGAAGACTGCTGGAGCAGAGCTGGGGTGGAGATGGGGTCGGGGCATCACCAGCATGGCAGTGAAGGCTACAGCTACGCAGGCTCAAAAGCTGGGGCCTCAGACCCTTCAGCTCCCCACTGGCACTCACCCCACGTATTTGTAGCCGCTGTAGGCCAAGAGGTGGAAGGTACTCAGTTCACTGCGTATGGTGGCCAGGTAGAGGCCGAGAAGTAGGGCCAGCACCTCCATGAACACCCATACCAGTGCTGTGCTCGCACACAGGCCCAGCACCTCTGGGGAGAACCTGCAGCCATGGCAGAAGGGAGTCAGAAGGAGCCATCCTGGAGCAGGTGTGAGGTGAGAGGCTAAGGGTGGCACTGAGTGAGCTGGGGCCTGGCACAGACCCCAGCACCCGTTCCCTAGAGAGGAAGGGGAGATAAGCCGGAAGGGAGAACAAGAAGGTTAGCACCAACCTTTTCTGAATGCCCAGTGCCATCCCAGCCAGCAGCACATATGTGATGAAGGCCATGGCTGCCAAGAGAAGAAAGGAAGTAGTCAGTCTGGCTTCCTCGCCCAAAGCCTCTCATTAGGCAGTCAAGCCCACCGATATCCTAGCATCTCCCATACTTCCCCCCGAATATCCCAACACGGCTCACCCTTTGCATCCAGTGTCCTGTCCGATGCGCCCCTCTGACTACCCCTCCAGCTGAATACCACTGGACCACCCAGGATCATAAGCCATCACCTTCCCTCTTATTAACTGGTGTGGCCACCAGAGGGCACAGCCTTGCCACCTGTGAACTATAGGTTAGCTAAGTCCCTAAGAGCCATGGCTTCAACATGAGACAGGATGACCGTACCAGCTTCTAACAGTGATCATGAGAGGATCAGGGGATGAAACAACCTTAGCAGTTGCCCTCCCTGGCAGCTCCTTTGGACAGCCCCACCCTAGCAAATCTGCTTGTGGGTGTCCTCTGAGCCTGACCCTGATTAGCCAACAGGACAGAGAAGAATGAGGTGCAGAGGCTATGTAGCTAGCCCGACAGGTGCCATGGAGACAGGCAGCTGTGAGGATCCAGAAGGGAGAATGCATTTGCTCCAGGGGTCAGGTTTCCTGGTGGGGGTGGGGGTGGGCACACACTGGAGCAGGCCTCAGCGGACAGGGTAATAATGACAGTATTTATTGTGTGGTGTGTCTCCTTCACGCCAGGTGGCATGCACAGCACACATCGTCTCCCTGGCTCTCCACGCCAATTCTCTGAAGCAGAAGCCATTGTTGGCCTTGCTTTACTAAAGGCTGAAAGAACCAACCTAAAGTCCTATAGCTGGAAGCGGCCGGGCCAGGTAACCTAGCATTCCAGGCTGGAAAGAGACAGGGTCCAAAGGCAAAAAGGTGTTATGGAAACAAGGTCCCATTCAGGAAGTTTCCTACTGGTCAGCCTGTCACCCTGGTGTCTAGCAACAGTCACACATGAACACACCAGGGATGGAGGCTGGGTCATTAGCTGAGTCTTCCTAATGATGTTTCAAGGCACAAGTACCCGTGTCCCCAAGCCCACATCAGAGACTCACTGGGGATATAGAGGTCAGGAGCGTTGAGGTCTTTCCGTGGAGGCAGAGGCACATCATGACTGTATTGCATTTTCCAGTTCTAGCAGTGGCAGGGGTCAGGTAAGCAGGAGAAGGGGAAAACAAGAGCAGAAAGGGGTTGAGGCCTGCGGATCAGGTTATCCGAAAGTGGGGAGAGGTTTGCCAGCTCACCTGGTAGGAAGCTCACCTGATGTGTGTAGGGGAAGACCAACAGTCCTAGCTTCCTGGCTACATAGGCTGTGTCCACAGCAAAAAAATACTTGAGTTTGTTCACAGAGACAAAGCGGTGCAGCTGGAAGTAGAGAAAAGAGACTGCGGATGTGTTCCTAGAGGCTGCTTGGGAAATCGAGTGGGAGCCTGTGACAGCCCAACCCTAGCCAGAAATCCTGTCACCCTTTCCCTGAGCACAGGTCACACCTCTTTGTGCACTATGTCCTTCCCTTGGGATGCTATGGAGCTGCCATAGGCCATAGCCATATTGGCCATTGGGTCTCCAAGCAGGTTGTTGACATTGAAGGCTACATCAGCTCCTGGGGCTGGGTATCCACCCGGTTGGCTGGAATAGCCACCACTTGTATCATCGAAGAGTGGAGGAGGATCTGGAGCTGCCCGGGTCCTGTGCTTGGAACCTGCAGGTGTGGGAGTACCAAAGTAGGTAACAGAAATTCTGAGCAAGAACCCAAACCATTGCCTCAGGATGAGAAGCTGTGCATAGGTCCCGGGACACGAAACAATGGCTGAGGAGAAGTCAGGGTGCATTTTAGAAAGACCTCCTATCCTTTTGGAGCAATCCTCTACTGCATGCCGCTGGGGGATTAGGCGCACCTAGAAGTGGCTGTCCACTTGGGATTTCTGGGAAGTCTCGCAAGGGAGATGATCCCTGAATATTAGAGAGTGAACAGATGTTTGCTTGAGTACGATCACCGGAAAGACATCCCTTAACACAGGTAGAAAAGTCAACACTGGCTACTCAAGAGTTCCTGGACAGTGGTCAGGAATGCTGCCAGAGTTTAACAGAGAAGGAAGTTCTGGAGGCGAGGCCGGTTCTTGTAGAGACTTGAGAATCTCAGTTGTGCTATCGCCGCCTAATCTCAGGATTGGTCAGCAAGGGCGAAGTCCAGGACACGCTGTAGTGTGGCAGGACAGGAACCCGAGAGACATTCCCCTCCCAGGACAGCAGTCACCGCAGGCCGTCTCCCTCTGGGCGAGTGGGTCTCGCAGGGGATTTGGCACCCTGCTGCCAGGCCGCGCCCCGCCCTCCCCATTCCTCACGCACCGTGGGCTCCGTATCCCGAGTGATAAGCCATGGCCAAGACGATCGTTCTACCCAAGGGTAGGCTGCGCTGTAGTCGGGTACAAACACTACTGAAACAGCTGCTTCTCTGGCCCAGAACTGACCGAAGTTACCCGACAGCCAGACACGTCCCAGGGCTGGCCGATCTCAGCCGCCATGTACGGGGCGTCACAGTCCGCTGTCTACCATTGGCCTTTCGGAGGAGCCGGTTATCCCCCCCACACACACTCCCAATTGGCTACTAGTATGCCTTAGTCCAATCGGATTTGATTATATTCAACTTCCGATAGGTAGGGGGCGGAGCTATTCAAGACGGTCTCCGATTGAGTAGGAGGCTTGCTAATTTGCGGCAAAACCAGCCAATAGGTGAGAAGGATTTGTAATTTAGTTCCGCGTCTGCGCCGAGGGACGCTTGACGCTCCTTGCCACGACTACGCCGGTAGGAAGATGGAGCTCCGGATCGACACTGCTAGTCAATATACAGAGCTGCCTCCGCCGCAACGCAGTCTAGGAGGAATTTGGCAGTCGGTCAAGCTCTGACCGATCCCTGCCCGCCCTCTTGTGCTCTCTTTCCTCCAATTCACTCAGTCCTGTAGCGGAATGTGGTGGTGTTGCCCGCGAGTGACAGCGAGGTCCAGAACCCTAAAACGTTGACTCCTCCTCCGGCCTCCCACTCCCTTCCGAGCAGGTGCTGTCCGTCAGCTAGTGCTGAAAATACCATTTAGCGTTCGCCGCTCTCCTGCTCATCTGCGAGGGTGTCTGCTGGGAGGGTTTGGGATCGCACTCAATACATCATGCGCGCGCGCGTGTACACACACGCACGCATGCACGCACGGAGCAGGGGACAGAAATTGAGACCCAGGAGATCCGAAACTCCGGAGATCTGGTGATATACATGGGACAGGAATCTGCACTGGGCCTTGTCCCATTGCTTTCTCCAGTGGTCCAGTGGATTTGGGAGGCAGAAGTGTGCTGATCTTTCCCCTGAGGTGCAGTCGGAACTCCTTAGTCATCACCAGTCCTGGGATCTCAAAGTGAGGCCCTTAATCGACGCTCTTAGTCTCCTACCCAGGTTGTAAGCGGTCCCACCCTTACAGGAGACAGTCTTCAAGGGCCCCTCTCTGGCGGTGTTGTTCTCCAGAGAGCATTACACGCCCTCTGATCCTTGCAGTTGATTAGCTACTTAAGTGTTCAGTTACATAAGGTGAGACCTTCCTGCTTCCCAAACTTAGCCCATGAAGGTCTAACTGCTGCTTTTGCTCCTCCACCTGGGATGCCTGTTCCCATCTTATCAGTTTGTCCAGAGCCTTTAAGAGTCACGTTAGCCTTCGTGTGAGATGGCTCAGCAGACAGCCAATCCTGAGGACCTAAGTTCAATTCCCAGACCCTACATAGTGGAAGAAGTGAATCAACTCCCGAAGGTCATCCTCTGACTTGCACTGTGCTTAAAGTGCACCGCTTCACATACACCCCACCCAGAGAGAGATACATGAAATAAATTTAAAACGTGGTTACATTTTAAATGGGGGGGGGTCAGTTTAGCTCTTACAGAGGCCAGGCTCAGGCCTCTGGCCCTCCCAGCGTTAGTGAGACTTTTCCCTGGATAACTTCTACGAGGACAAGGATTTTGTCATTCTCCACGTCTATCTATGTCCTCCTAGTGTCCAAGCACACCAATTACACTAGAAGCTAGCCAGCAAACATCTGTGCCCACTAAGCAAGCAAACAAATGGGGCAGTGGAGAGATGGCTCAACAGTTAAGAGCACTGTTTGCCTGGGTTGGATTCCCATCATCCCTTGGCGGCTCACAGTCATCTCTAACTCCAGCTCCAGGAGACCCAGCACTCTCTTTTGGCCTGTGTGGGCACTGCATTCATGTGGTACACAAACATACGTAAAGGCAAAACACCCATAGAGGCAAAATAACAATTTTTAAAAATAAACACAAAATAAATATTTAAAAAATAATAAATCGGGATGATGGTGGCACATGCCTTTAATCCCAGCACTCAGGAGGCAGAGGCAATTATGCCTCTGAGTTTGAGACCAGCCTGATCTACAGTGCGAGTTCCAGGACAGCCAGGGCTACACAGAGAAACCAAGTCTCAAAGAAACCAAAAATGATAATAAAAAGCACAAAACAGTCCTTTATATCTGTTACACCATCTTCTAAAGTTCAAACAATCATGGAATTACCCTTTGTTCAAACACAATGAAGAGCCCACCTAGCTTACATCTCCCTCTGTCCTACCCATTATCTAGATTGGGGGCAAGGTCCAGACCCAAGCCTGGGTGTGAGGAGCCCAGCCCCGTGAGGGCGAAGGAGGAGGACTGGGGCCTTATGCATCTTGGAAAAGGCTGTCCCATTCAGGACAGAACCTATTCCTCTGCCTGGTCTGAGAAGACTAGTGAATTTAATCCAGCACTTTTCCATCTCCATTTCTCAGATAGAAAAGCTGAGTTTAGGGGTTAAACATACTGGTCAAAGATCGTGCAGCCTTAGAGTTCCTGATGCCCTAGCTCTAGCCCTCCAGCCCTCAGCAGAGTCCAGCGAATGAAACTAATCTTTCCCTTCTGGGTATTAACAAGCAAAGCTTCTGGGGTGGAGTCTGGGTGGGCTTATAGCGCTGGGCCCATTCCCTAGAGAGGGGCCCCTGCGGGCGCCCACCCACCTGCAGAATCACCCGCCTCATTATGCAGCTGGGGAGACTCGGCACCATAGAGCAAGGACTCGCCCAAGGTCGCAAGTGCGAGCTCGGCCAGGGAAGCCAGGCGTCCGGAGGCCCAGATTGGGCTTCCCAGAGGCGAGGGGCGCCCGCGGTGCCAGGCGCGGCCAGCGGCGCCGCCGGTGCCGCGGGGGCGGGGTCAGCGGAGGGCGGGGCGCCGGGCACCGCGGCCGCCAACGCCGCCGCGCTCGGGCTGTGCTCCGGCTGGGCTCGGCGCACTCCTCAGCGGCCGCCGAGCCGAGCGGACGCCTCTCGGGGCAGCGCCGCAGCCCTCCGCGCCCCACCGCTTATCATGCCCGGGGCCCGGGCCCGGCAGCCGGAGCAGCCAGGACACCATGCCGGAGGGCGAAGGTGGCGACTGCGGGGAGGTGCCCGCACTCATTCCGGACAGCGAGCCGCTGCGGGAGGAGGTACAGGCGGCGTGTGGTGGGGACTGAGCCAGGGCTGGAGAGAGGTGAAGGGAACAAGTGGAGGGGCGAACCACAGAGGGGGATTAAGGAGGAAAGTCCCGGAGCCCCTTCAGTAATGACGTCATTGGGGAGACAGCGTTCTGGCTGGGGTCGTGGTTTCGGGGTCCGCGTAGGTCAGGACAGGAATGCTTGAGCAGGAATGTAGGGGAGACCTGGGCCCTCGGCGCCCCCTCAACCATCCTCTCCGGCCCTGTGACGTCAGCGCCTGTGGCCCCCACGCGTCCCTGTTCCAGAGCGCAGCCTGGGATGCTGTCCCCGACTGCCAGGGCCTTGGGGTCAGGTCCCCAGTCCTGCCCGGTTGCTCACGAGGTGTCGGGCGGTGCCTGCAATGCAGCAGCTGTAGCACGGACTGGGGGTGGGGGAGGGAAGAAGGGAAGAGAAGGGAGCGGCTGCTGATACCCTTCTCTCCCCCACCCCCAGGTGAGGACAGAGGGCTCACTCCCGTAGTTGAGATCCCCAGAGCCCCTCCTCGGCTCTGGCCAGGAGGATGTGCCAAGTCTAGGATGGATAGGCGGTAGTATGGAAAGCAGGGTGGTGAGCGGTCTGTGTGTGTGAGTGGATGTGATGTGCTTGTGTGTGAGACAGAATTCTGGTTGTGTGTTCCCTGTATCTCCAGTAGGGACATATGTACCCTGTAGTCAGGTGAGGCTCTGGTGGGTTCCTTGCCTTGAGTCTTCTTCACCCAAGAGTGTGGGTGTGTATGATTTCATGCTGTGTCTCTTTAGTGTGTGGGCTGTGGGTGTCAGGTTGCTATAGGGTGGAGTAGATGTGCACTGTGGTCAGGTGAGGGTCGCATGTGTCTGGATGACTGTGTGTATTATGTATGTACATGTTGTCCTGTGGTGAAGTGATGGCGTATCTGAGTATACCTTGCTATGGCCATGAAGCTTGTGCTCTGAAAACAGGCAAGGGTCTGCTGTTTCTTGTATGAGGGATGCTGTTCCTTTGCAGTGGGTGGGTCTGTGATGAGCATGTGTTGGGGGTGTGGGTGAGTGGGTGTGTGCACCTGGCTGGGACAGGTCTAGGTGGCAGAATGCACCTATAAATTTGATACAAATGGGAGCAGGTTGCCCTGGATGGGACTGAGGACTGTCCCTTCTCCTGTTAGACCTCTCAAGGCATGGTGGGACTGAGGAGGTGACATCTACACCTTCCACCTCCTCTCTCCCAGTCCCCCTTCCTCTTTCCCTTCCCCTTCTATTGACACCAGAGCTGAGGTGGCCAGGCTATCAGCCCTACCAGCCATGGAAGATGTGCCAAGCCTCTGGGTCAAGAAGTAGTCTGTGGTGTCCAGCGGCTTGTGTTCCATCTCTCCCTTCAGGACAGTTAGGGAGTGAAGGGTGGCCCTCCATCTGCTGCCAGCCCTGGGACTCACACCTCCCCCATCTCCCCCCCCCCCCCTCTCCTTCTCTCTGCGTATGTATGTCTCTCTCGCTTAACAGCCTCTCCCAAGTCTCCTGCCATCCCTAGTGGAACAAGGGACCAATGGGAGTCGCAGGGTAGCAGCAAAAGTGTTTATTCCCAGGGCTAGACCCTATGCTAGCAAATTCCCACATGTGATCTCTCTATCTCTCTGCATCTTCAACAACCAGATGTATGAATGAGGAAACAGCACACAGCGCTAAAGTAGAGTGGTCTGCCCAAGCCACAGAATGGCTGGCACCCCAGAGCTGCTGTATATAACTGTCTCCAAAGTCCACCTCTCTCTCTCTCTCTCTCTCTCTCTCTCTCTCTCTCTCTCTCACACACACACACACACACACACACACACACACCTCCCTGCCACATCAGCCTCTCAGACCAACAGGACCAAAATCCGGACCCAGAGAGGGTAAAAATGTGGCCAAATGCACACAGCAAATTAGAAACAGAGCAGGAACTACCAGAAGTCATATTTCTCAGTGGTGACTGGGAGAGGGTCGTTTCTTCTCCATTGTGCTCTTACGGGGGGTAGGGAGGCTCCTGACTGAGAGACAGCAGGGCACAGAGGGAGGCAGGCTC